CTACAGCAGGCAAGAGATGGGAAAGCATATCATAGTTCTGTTGCCACACAAGTTCTATTTCTAGCTCCTAGTCAAGAAAGAAAAAAGAGAAGAATTCTGTCTCTAGATGGTATTTCAGTTCTCAGTTTATCTTTTCCACAAGGAAGAGAGGAGAACAGGACACCAATTGAATAAAGGTGTCCTGTTCTCTTCCTTTCCTTGAGGAATTCCACTTTAGAGATACTTAGAAATTTAGAATAATTTTTAATTTAGAAAATATTAATTCGCAAACCCAACTGCTAAGGGCATACCTAACACATGATAGAGATTATGACTGAAACAATCCAGAGAGATTTCATTTTCTTTTCTGCATTTAAAGTATCTGCCTTCCCATTCTAAAAGTATAGGGAAGATACCCTTAGATGTATATATTGTCTTATTTTGGAAAAGTTGTTGGTTTTCTTTGTAAGTTTTTAAGAGTTCTTCAAATGTGTCCCTGTGTGAACAATGAAAATTTGAAACTTAAAACATTTCAATGCATGTAAAAACAAAAACAAAACAAAACAACTTGACCAGTTCGGCTTGAGATAGCTTTCTAAGTTCAACACTGTAATACTATTGAATTATATTTACCCATTCTCAAGGCTATGTATGCATAGCTTCCATTCAAACTTACAATTGCAGTAAAGAGTGGAAAAAGTCTTCTGAAAAAATGAATTTATACTAATCATGTAATTCTGAATTTACAAAATGTCCATATAGTAGAAAATTTGGATGTTGCATTCTAAGCAATTGTAATAATTCCTGAAATGAGGAGTCAGTTCTTTATGTCAGAACAGATGTGAATGAGCTTTCAGTTATTAGGAAAATATGCCATGTTGATTTTACAGGATTATGTTAGTTCTTTATAGCATAGTCTAGTCTATGCAAGGAGAACTGCCACTGATATTTTTGCCACTGATATTTTATGGTTTTTGGATCACTTTACACTGCCTTATGAGGAAAGACTGAGAGAGATGAGCCTGTTCAGCCTGCAGAAGAGAAGGCTGAGAGGGGATCTAATCAGTATCTATAAGTACCTCAAGGGAGGCAGTGAGGAGAATGGTGCTGGCCCCTCTTCACTCGTGGCCACCGACAGAACTAGCGGTAATGGTCGCAAACTGAAACACCAAAAGTTCCACAGGAACTTAAGGAAAAATTTCTTAACAGTGAGGGTGACAGAGCACTGGAACAGGCTGCCCAGAGAGGCTGTGGAGTCTCCTTCTCCGGAGATCTTCAAAACCCGCTTGGACGCAGTCCTGTGCCACGTGCTCTAGGTGACCCTGCGTGTGCAGGGGGGTTGGACTAGATGACCTCTAGAGGTCCCTTCCAACCTTAAGCATTCTATGATTCTATGATTGTATATTCCTATTATCATTTAAAATTAGACTGCAAGAATTAAAATGAAATGTAGACATCTAGACCCAAATGTAGACCTGTTAGCTCTTGAGCTTCAAATTCTACAGCTTTTTTATATATATATATATATATTGTTTCTTTTATTTATTGCAATCAGTAAATTTATTGCAATAAACAGAACAAACACCGGTAAATATCAATATGCTATTTTGTATTATTAAAACTGCTACTTAGCAAGATGCACACTTCATGGTAAGATCAAATTGAGTTTTGCGCACACACACACACACCAGTAATCATCATTTTTTATAATGCTTAATAATACATGCATAGAGTATTTTCATTGAATCATAATTCTTATTCTTCATACAAAATTATTTTGCTAGGTATATATATTGGAGTCTTGTAAGAAAGTAAGGGCACAGTTCTTAAACTGACTGCTCTGTCTAAAAATTAGTCTAAAATTCTATCCAAATTTGGTCTGTCTTAATTTCACAGAATCACAGACTCACAGAATGGTTAAGGTTGGAAGGGACCTCTGGAGATCATCTAGTCCAACCCCCCTGCTCCAGCAGGGACACCCAGAGCACATGGCACAGGGGGGTTTGGAAGATCTCCAGAGAAGGAGACTCCACAGCCTCTCTCAGCAGCCTGTTCCAGGGCTCTGGCACCCTCACAATAAAGTTCTTCCTCATATGGAGATTAAACTTCCTATGTTTCAACTTACACCCGTAAGAAATTTACAGCGTAATTTGTAAGCACTAACACTAAAATATCTTCATGAAAATTATATTGGATGATGTTAATATAGAAAAGAACCATGGGTGCCTCAATTCCTCACAACACATTTCATATTTTATTTTGTTTGAATTTATTCAAATATTCTTGAACTGATTTTTCCAAGTGTTTCTGAATTGAATTGAATTTTTAAAAGGCTTTCTTTGTTTTTCCCTCCTGAGGATTTACTTTTCAAAAATACCTGTCTCTGCATTGTTGCTATGTAATCTTTCCCTGAATTCCGCTTAAAGATACTCATACATAACATAGTATATTTCTCCTAGGTGGTTACACTGTAAATGGAAGGATGAAAAATTGTCCTACATGTAGTGTCTCTCCATCTCATGTTTATTTATTGTGTTTAAGGGACCATCCATAAAATATTATTTATTCTTCTTATTTAGTCTTATTATAACCTGCTGCTGATTCATAAACTGTTTACCCTGTAGAACAAAAAAAAAAAAAAAATCCACATCTTTCATAAGTTAGTTGTGATTTTCTTAACATTGCTATCCTCCTTCCAGAACTGGCATAGCACATGATCTCTCTATAAAGTTATTCTTTCAAGATAGCGAGCATGTGAAAAACTATACTCTCTGTAGATAAGCATTCATTGTCTTGTGGTAAAATTCTGAGGTATAATATGGTGTTGATTTTTCCTCAAGTTTGTTTGGTGTGGAGATATTACATGGTCGATAAAATAGGGTAAAACTGCTTAAACTTTGATAATGTATATCTGATGAAAGGTTTTTCCTTCCACATCTACTACCTTCATACATCTCTCTGTTCTTTTTGATTTGCCATGATTTGGAAGCTCTGGCTATACCATCAGATAGCACTGTAAGGAATTACTAATTCTGTATTCTATCATCAATAATATTAACTTTTACTGAGAAGCATGATAAAACACATGACTTCCACAGAAGTCACTGAACAAGCTACTGCACTGGGAAGCAAACATGTTGGTCAAGCACAGTTTAAAGTGGTAAATCTTCCTTTTTCTTCTCTTTCTTGTACCTAAAAATAGCTTTCAAGAGGACTTATTGCAACATCTTCTCAGTGAAGTGAAACTGAATAATCTGTAGTTTTCAGGATCCTGCTTTTACTTTTTTTTTTCCTCTCTTTTTGTAGATGGATGTAGTATTTATAGTTTTTCAGACTGTCAGAACTTACCCTGATCTCCATGGCCTTTCAAAGACAGTTTGGCTTAAAAGTGAGGGTTTTTTCATCAACTATACACAAGAGCAAAAAGATTGGCCTTCTGTTTTAAAAATAATTTTTCGTAATATTGAAGATTCAAAAGGTAAAGGATGAATGCAGTGAATAAATTGGGGAAAAATAATAATAATATACTAAGACCTAATTAAATGCCAATCTTTATTCTCTGGATATGGATTTAAGGTTTTAAAGTCTAGAGTAGTATTAAAATATTTTGCTCTGTGTTTTCTGCTAGATATTCTCATTTGTCTTCCTTGGAACAAATGTATAAAAAATATATGCCTTCTGTCAATAAATATTTTATGTAAATTTAACTATTACTAATAAATATAATAGTATACTTTATAAGAAGCTATGGTGACAAAATAAAGTATCATTTAAAATATATATATATATGCACTTGTGTTACATTTTCAGGAGAAAATCAGAGAGGAATAGTTTATGTTTCAATCCGTCATATGACTATACTGATGAACCCCTAATGTGACAGGCACAGATAACATAATTAATGTCTTACTGCACTTGTAAGACCATGAAAAAGGTGACTGACACAATATTTTGTTCCAGGTGGGAATAAAAGGTGACTGCTTTCCTGGCCCTTTACAGTCTAGTTAAGCATTTGACTGACAGAATGTTGGCACCAGCCCTGGAAATGCTACTCAGCCTCAACTCCAAGTAAGTTACTAAAAGAACTATAGCTCTTTGTAGGTCCTCAAATACACAAAATAGAAGGTGTTAATTCTCTCTGTGATTTTTATCTGAACATGTATATTGGGGAAAGGAATTTCATTAAGTGTATTATAATTAAAATTGAGAGTAATATTAATCTGAGATTAAAAACAACAACAACAAAACCCTAAAGTTTTAAGTAGAAGAATCAGTTTCTTAGGCTGATATGACACTTGAAATTTTTTGGAACAGTGAGAGCAATCTGATGTCTGATAGTTGTATTAGAAAACCCCTGTAGTATGTGTACGTTTGATATTTGTTCCACATCTATATCAATTTTTCTAAGGCAAAAACCACTCATAGCCTGAAATAATGTTATTACTGACAATTGGTTCAAGAAGAAGGTTTGCCCAAAGAGACTAGAATACTCAAAAAAGTACTTTCGTTTTTATGAAAAGAGTTCTTTATTGATATTTGATTGCTGGTTGAGGGGAAAAATTAATAGACAAGATCTCATTTGTTTTAGCTAGAACATGGCATATTAAATAAAACGTAAATATTGCTTGAGCAATAAGGAGAATGTACTTGAGTCCTGAGTCAGACTTACAAAATCCTAATTCTGATATAACTCACTGTGGGAACCTAGCAAAAACTAGAAAGATATATTGTCTCCGTGCTTGGTGCGCGTGAAGCCACACCTCGAATACTGGATTCAGTTTTGTGTCTCTCTCTACAAGAAGGACGTTGATGCACTGGTGTGGGTCCAAAGAAGGGCAACGAAGCTGGTGAAGGGGCCAAAGCGCAGATCTTACCTTATGAAGAGTGGCTAAGGGAGCTGTGGTTATTTAGTCTGGAGAAGAGGAGGTTCGGGGAAGACCTTATCACTCACTACAACTACATGAAAGGAGGTTGTAGTGAGGCAGGGGTTGATCTCTTCTCTGGAATAACTACCGATAGAACAAGAGGAAATGGCCTCAAGTTGTGCCAGGGGAGGTTCAGGTTAGACATTAGGAAAAAATTCTACATGGAAAGAGCGGTAAAGTGTTGAAACAGGCTGACTCG